TTTTCTAAATGGAATAAACTGAAATTTTCATTAATATTCACAACGAAGAAGCACAACGAATAAGGAAGAAGACGATGAGAGTGACGACAACACGATAGGAGCACTTGATTTGAAACCTAAATGAAGAACATGAACCCTAACTTCACTAGGTATTCTTTGATTTGTTTCGTTTAGTGATTATTGTTGTTGACGAAAATAAATATAAACCCTAACTTCACTTTTATTGTCAAATAACTTTGGAATGTCGGTCCTTAACTTCAAATCTAAACCTTCATCTTGGACAAAGGAAGATCCAAAATTTTGTTCAAGGTGTGTATATTCAAAACCAGAATGATATTTGCACAGATATATGTAACATGTTCTGAAATTAATAGTCGTGGTATGCTCTAGTATGATAGTTGTACTGAAATGGTATTATGTTATGAAACTTATCTAAAATTGATAGTTGCACTTCTATGGTAGTATGTTTTGAAATTGTTCTGGTATGATAGTTGCACTGATATGATAGTTGCATTTCTATGTTAGTATCTTCTGAAACTGATCTGAAATTGATAGTTTCACTAATATGTACTTATAGTATATGGGTTTTGTTTTTCATTTTGTTTCGGTGTAGGCCATCTAAGATAAATGTAGTAAAACTTAAAATTAATCATGGAGGGAGTTTACTTCATTATCCTTGCAAGCCATATAAAGATGGAACGGTAGATGAACTGAATTGAAAATGGGATGTCAATTTGATGACATATATGGAGATTTTCGAAGTAATTAAGTCATTGGGTTATGTAAGAGTCAAATGTATGTGGTACCACGATTCGAAGTTTTCACTTTAGCATGGACTTAGGCCTATAAACAATGATAAAGATGTTCTAAAATTTGGGGAAGATATGAAAAGTTATGATTATGCTAATATTTATGTTGAGCATATAGTAGATGAACCTGATGTTGTAACAAAAGATGAAGTAAGGGAGTATGTTGAAGCTCAACAAGAAACAATAAATGTTGACTCAGATGATAAAGTCCATCTCGATGACAAGGATGAAGTCAATGTTTAGAAGACAAAAGAAGTTCAGCCTGATCAGAGAGAAGAAGTTTAGGGTGAGAAAAGTGAGGAAGATGAAGACTTTGTCCAGGATGATAATGATGATTTATATGATAGTGAATTCAATGAGCTAGATGAAAATGATTGGGATAGGACACATGAAGTGCCTAGCTATACATTCATGCAAGAAGGCAATGATGCAAACAATGTCTCTCAAACACAAGAACCAACAAAAGTATCTGATTTTGAGAAAGGCCATGATGTTGACTCGGATGAACTAGAAACTCCACAAGGAAGTGAAGAAGAATATGATGAACATAAGTATTCCAAGTTTAAAATTCCTGATTGTGGTGAGGCGTTGAGGCTTGAATTCTTTTTGTGTTATGAACCTATTATACAATATTGTAATGTAAGATGCTATCACCTTTTAAAAAGGATTACAACTTTAATGTGTAACCTTGTATGTAAGATGCTATCACCTTGTAAGTTGCATCATTTTTTGAAGAGGATTACAACTTTAATGTGTAACATTTTAAGAATGAAGACCTTTTAATATTAAAGAAATCTTATCATTGAATTAAGGATTGTATTATGTTATCAGTGAATTGTGTTACTGTGACAGAAGAATTATGAATAACATAGGTAACATTGTCAATATTGTCAAAACATTGTATCATAACAGAACATTGTATCAAAATATTGTCAACATTATCAAAACACGGTATCAGAACAGAAGAATTATGGATTGTATTATGTTATCAGAATATTGTGTCAAAACATTGTATCACAACAGAAGAATTATGGATTCTATTATATTATCATTGAATTATGAATTGATAAAACAATGGTGACAAAAAAATTGTATCACAACATTGTCAAAAGATTGTTACATTAACGACATATGTAACATTGTTACATTAACGACATATGTAACATTATTACATTAAGAAATAGGTAACACCTTACAACATAACATCAAAGTAACACCAATTGAACTCAAACCTTACTACAATGACCTTACAAGATTAACCCCAACCTTACAACAATGACATCTAAACTTAAACAAATCATTTTTGATCAACATGATGATAAAAAAAAAAGATAAAATCAACAACATAATCCACAATTTGATCTTCTTCTTCATGTCATCATTACTCTTCTTTGTTAAACTATCTTTATTCTTCAACTCATTAACTTTATTCAAAAGCGAGTTAATCACTTCCTTTGTCTCTCCCGGTATCTTGTCATCGTACCAATCAAAAAAACAACAACCTTTCCTCCATTGTAACTGAATGAAATAGATAAGAATGTGTAATTTAGCAACCAACTACCCAGAAATGTTTGAATTCACAAGATGAATAAAACTAAAAATTAGGGTTTTAGATGCACGTTGAATGACCCACATCCATAGAACCTCCTACTTGGATTCTCAGGTGTCTACACAGTTGCAAGTGGTGAATCCAACCCACAATAACATTGAATCCTTCTCCTCCTATAATGAGATGAAGAACTTGTAATTTCCACAGACTCATAACCCATCACACAAGACACAAATTAGGGCAACAATGAAATGAACCGGGCGATGGTGAAATTAGATGATAATGAAGCTATGAACACGATGACCTAGATTTGATTTCTAAATTATCAATTTCATTTGTTAAATAGACATTTAAAAAATAACAATTTTTTTTTATTTTTTTATTTAATAATGACCTGACAACAAAATTAAATCCATGTGTTTAAGAAAATGACACATCAACATTTTTTTTATGATAAATGGGCAAGGGAGAGCAAAACTGTTTAAAAAATAAACAAAAAGACTGATTTCATGAGTTTGACAGAATAAGGGGACTAAAACTGTAATTTAACCTATATTTTATTAGATTTTATAATTTAATAAAAGAATCAATCATAATTATATTAATGCATAATTCATATTAAAAAATAAGTTAAATTACAATTTTGGTCCTCCAATTTTATTTGATTCATGAAATTAGTCAACTCTATTCTAATTTTAAACAGTTTTAGTCATCCTCTCAATATTTTTCATAAAAAATTGATGAAATGTTCATTTTCTAATATATATTTTCATTTATAAAATTTCACAATATATTTATATGTGATGATTTATCATGTTTTGCAAAACACTTGTCATTTAAAAAATTGAAATTTCGTTAATTTTAAGTGTGAAAATATTAAATGGGACCAAAATTGTTTATATATATATTAAATGGGATCAAATATTTTTCTTCTCATATCTTTAATATTTTCTTTCTTTATATTTAATTAAATATGTTGATGAATAAAATTGAATGTCTCTTCTATCAAGAACTAAATTCTATAGATAAAACCTTTTCTTTTTCTATTCTTCTAATAATCCAGTAATTTATTGTTTTTATTCTTTCATACTTATATAATATTTTTCTATATTTAATTATCTTTTTTAATTAAAACACAAAATCATATCTATGTTCTTATTTTATTGGGACGTAAGACAATGATGAGATGATACAGTTGTAAGATTTATAAAATTTGAAATTTTAATCTGATTTGTTTAAATTTTTTCATTAATGCATTAACATTATCTATGATTTGATGATCTATTTGTGAATATAATTTTATTAATAGTCATAACTATCCTTAAATTCTATATCATCGTCATAATTATCCTTAAATTTAAGATACTTATTTATTTTGTAGACCCTATATTTTCTCCATCTTTTTAAGATACTTATTTATTTTGTAGATCCTATCTTTTTAAGATACTTATTTATTTTGTAGATCCTATATTTTCTCCATCTTTCATACTCATTACTACTCCTATAAATATAACTTAGAGGTCTCAAGACTCGCAACTAGTAATAATTCAAATCCACAAATTTTTTAAAGAAATAGTTAGTTATTATGGCCGAAGAAAGAGTTGAGTTCAATCTTAATGTTTGTAAGTATTAAATTTTTTAATAGTAGCGGTAGTTATAAGCAATTTGCATTGGAATAAGAATGACATGGCAGTAAGTGAACTAAAAATTAGTGAGAGTAAACTATATAACCAACGCACACTATCCATTCTCAATGACTCTTATTATTATTTTATTATTGTTTTATATTATTAAAATATTAATAAAGCTCCAACAACTATAAAATGTGGGGTCAAGTTTTGATTTTTTTACAAGCAACCATCATTAAAGCAAAAACAACTCAAATCAACTATAAATATTTTAAATCCTACAAATTACTTTGGCCTCACAAAAAGTATTTGACAAATCTTAAAGCACACATACTCATTAGATATATTTAGGTTAGATGATCAATAATCAAAAATTGTGAAAATTTCTTCCGATCATGTTGTTGGACTTGAAGAACTTCTTCCGATCATTTTGTTGGACTTGAAGAACTGGTGAATAATGAATACCAAAAGAAGATTATTCCTGTGGTTTTAAATATTTTTATGGATGCGTATCCATGTAAAGAAAGAAGAAATCAAGAGATGATAAAAGAGTCTATGCAATTTGTCAAAATGATTCCTGTATCCAATGAAGCTATCTCAACATTGAAAGCCTATTCGCTTTCTAGGAATTGTGCCATATGCTTGGAGAGGTTTCATGTTGATTCAAAAGAAGATAGTGATAGTGATGACGATAAAGTTTCAACAATGGCGTGTGGTCATATATTTCACTATAATTGTATTGTAAAGTGGCTTCAAACAAGTCATGTATGTCCCTTGTGTCGTTATGCTATGCCTATTTGAATATTGAATATTTTATTACTCTTAGTTATGCTATGCCTCTTCGAACATTGAGTACTATATTTTTTTTAATTATTAGGTCTTCTTTTCACAATATGTATCAATGTACACAAATAGTTGATTGAAAATTTATAAATTGTTCTGGCCCCAAAATTTTCATAGGATGCAAATAAGTAATATCCAGCACAAGCCTTAAATCCAATTGCACGTTTCGATTTAAAATTTGATCACTTGCTTGGGTTGGCTCCCAAGTTTTCCTAGAGCTTTATCCAATGCTGTATTGAAATCGTCAAAGGGAGTCAATTCCATCCTGCACAAAAGGGTGACCAGTTAATGTGTAAACTGAATGAGAGAAACAGAGGGTCATAACTTTAAATTATATAAGCAATTGAATTTAAGACATACTTGTATTTTAACTTTCCATCTTGTACAAGACCCAAAAGCCTGTCTATCATTCTTCTGCCCTCTTCAGTTTTATCTGTGTTCAACCAATTCTGCAACCAGAAACCCCTCAACGAAAGTTCCTGCAAATATGTGATTTCAAACTAAGTTTATATATAATAAACCAGAGCAATGCTGTATTTCTACTTAAAATATAATCACATGTTATTGAAAGGTTATGCCATAAGTAAGCCATGATACTTGTTTTAGACGTCCAAAAGTGCCCAGTTTTGGCCAAAAGGGTATGGCCCGAGTAGCTAGTAGTTTGGACTCTTCAACCACGTGTCCAAGGCTCGAATCCCGGTTATGGAGGCGTTGCCCTTGCCCCTTAAATCTACTCTACATCCTCGTAGGGTTAATTTTACAGCTACTAACTACGGGACACCCTAAATCCATCCACTCCCTGGATAAAAAACTGACCCATCTCATTCCTCAGCACAAACCAGCTGTAATTAACTTGATCGCTGTGAAGCCAGAGTAGGGTAAAGAAACACACTTCAGACCTGGGAGTTACATCTCCTGGAGGTTGAGAAACACGGCCTCGAGTAATTGAGTTGTGACTCCCCAACACCCAAACTTAAAATATCCACAGGCCTCATAGACCTCAGGTACCAGTTTTTAGTGTACCTAACAATTTCTTGCTTAATTGATTATTGGAGAGTCTTTGGAAATACACATTTCTGCATCCCCAGCCTCCCAAAATAGTAACACGGCTGTTTGAGCACAGAGACCAACTCCGATCTATGCGCAATAGATATTAAGGGATCCCAAGGCTCATGGACCAACTGACTATTTTTTTATGCCTATTTTCTCGCTCATTTTCTATTTTCATTGATGGATCAATATGAATTTTAAGAGATGCCATTTCAAATCAACATAAATAATCCATATTCTTCATTACAGCACTTCATTCTGATTCTTCACACAGAATATCCTATGTAGCCTTCGAGCAGGCAAGTGAAAGATTTGTTAGCTAAATATAAAACCCATTTTCAGTTTTTCAACCAATCATTAAAATATGTAGGCATCTTGGTATCTATATATTTCATTAACTCTTTGATAAGCAACACAAAACCATTACAGACTACAGATGATAAGGTTAACATGCATTTACTAAAAATATCATATTACTATAGAATCCCAGCACTACTAAGGGACCAATAGGTGATAGAAGTATTGCTAACAAGACTTATATGCCCTACAAACAATTAGGTCATACGGTGTACGGACCTACAAGAAGGTTTGTAAACTCGTAAATACTTGTTGAGCTTAAGCTACTTCCCTAGCCCAAAGTTAACATCCGCTAATCTTTCATCCAACTCAGGTTAAATGGCAAAGTATTACTACAATTTATTTTATAACCAGCTTCAACACTTTCACAGAATATAGTACATATCAATTTTCAGAGATGCGATTATCTTAACAACTTAGTAACTCCTTCATCTCAATTACTTCCAAGTTTCAACTATTGCTCTGTAATTTATATCAGTTGAAGATGCAAACTCCTCAGTCAGATAATCACAAAACTTACTGGCAATTTTAACTTGATTCTACTTTATATACAAGTGAATCGTGAATAGTCTTTATGCTCATGTCAACCATTGTTAACCATGATAAATAAAGATATTAACTTAACAATGGTTCAGCACAGTAGACTGATGAAATCAATTCTGAGAGGGAAGAAAATGATTACAAGTTACGGCCTGACCTTAAATATGAAGGATGACGTTGATACAGTGACAGGTCTTTTAGACATTCCACCATATGTCACCATAGTTCCTCCCCGCCTGTAATGCACAAACTCACTTAAAATCTTCATAATAATGATAGTTAATAACAGAAAAAAATCATTAAAGTCTCCACCGAATATCTCATGTCATATCATACCTTAAAAATTTGAGAACCAGAGAAGCAGAATTGCCGCCAACGCAGTTAAATCCAAGTGCAGGTTCAGGTATACCATCCTACCATGTCAATTTGATGTCAAGTAATCATTCAATTCTATATTTTTAGTATAGAAGATAACCCTTAAAACAATTGTTCGTTTGTCAGCTTCGATAGCATCTTAGAGCATAACATAAGTCATAACAAGAACAATAAATCCAAGGTATACCAGAAGACTCTTGACATTCTTCACTTCCAATTCATTTTCGGTGAAAACTTCATCAGCACCCAAATGCTTAAGTCTTTCTTTAACTTCATCAACCCCAGGCCTACAGAAGCAACAGGATTAGCAATGCAAAAAATAAGTTTCATGACAAACATCTTCTCTAAGCCCAATGAGATAGAAAATGGGAACAAGAACATGGTTTAAGAAATATTCAGAAGCAATCATGCCGGTTGCTCCAATTTTGCACAACAGTAACAAAAAACCATGCAAAGAACCTTTTAAAGAGCACCTGTCCCGTATAATATTAATGCTGTGAATGCCACGAGATTTTGCAAGCTGAATGACACACTGGCCAACCATGCTGGTAGCCCCATTTTGCACAATAGCATCTCCTGTTAAAAACATGCAATGCATACATAACATAATCATAAACAATTCCACTCAAGAACCAACTAAAAGACAAGCATTGCATCTACTAAAGGGGCAGTGCCTGTGTTCAAAGTAACGCAATCTTCAAGCATGAGAAGAGCAGTGAGAGGATTGACAGTAATTGTAGCAGCATATTCCATAGGCACACCCTTGTTTACCTTATGCCACACATTCTGATCCTTCACAACGTATGTCTGCCACATCCCTAAAATTATAAATAATCAAATTTTCAAATACAGTAGATAACAAAAGAGTCACTAACTTGGTCTCTTGAACTAAGAAGCAGAATAAGAGCATCTAATTTCATTCCTAAAATTGGATGACTGTATCAAGCCCCGCTCAGTTGCTCGCCGTAGCTGTGAAAGAACACCAGATGACTTAGAGCGGGAGCTGGAACCTGCGACATCTCTCTTATTCACTTTTAAAGTATGAACTTCCAGCCATTAGACTACTTTACCCAAATGATAAATCAAATTTCAAAATAATTATAATAGAATTTAGTTGATATGCAACGAGACTGTGTATCCCGCCACATCACCCTATAAATGTGTATCCCGTCACATCACACCCTAAATTTTAAATTAGAGGTATGACATGGCAGATTGATGAATTCCTATTGAATGACATTTGTAAGGGCATATCAATTAAACTAATAATAATAATAATAATAAATGAAAATGAGAAATTGAAGGAACGAGAAAGCACCAGCAGAAGGTGGAGAGGGAATAACCCAATCGCCGGGAGAGAAAGACGTTACGGCGGAGCCAACGGAGTAAACCTCTCCGACGCCTTCATAACCACCAATTGCAGGGGGTTCTGGCCTCACGGGATATACGCCTTGTATCCTGTTAATGTCGGAAGGGTTTATCGGAGCAGCCAGCATCTTCACGCAGACGTCATTCTCTTTCAATTCCGCACCCGGGAGAGTCACCAGTTTCGTCACTGCGTCTGGTTGGCCGTGCGCCTCGTATACGATCGCTTTCGACGGCGGTGAAACTGCGGAGGAGAATGCTTGCGTGTTTAGAACTCTACTCCGAAGAGAACTCGTGTTGAAATTGAATTTGAGAAGCAAAGAAGAGGGTTTAAGACTCAGTGATCGCAACATTTTGTCGCTCTGTTTCGCTCTTTCTCAAAGTTTCTCGCTTATTACCCCTTTTTCTAATCGGTTGTTTGTGCTGCGCGCTCTTTTCAATAAGACGACGTCGTTTCAAAGGTTTTTCTTTAATCATGTGTGACTTCGGTTTATACGTTAGATTCTATAACAGAGTCTATTGTGTTTGTAACACCTATTTTGCTCACACTTTTAATCATGTTTATTTATTGTTAAACGATTTTATATATTTACTCATTCGTTAACCATTTCGAAAATTGTAGTAATCAATTTGTGTTATATTTATCAATTTTAAAATAAATAATTTTATGAACCTGTCCACATGTCCGGATTTTTATTAATCAAATTATAGACAACATTAAACATAATTTTGAACGCTATTAACCAACGTTATTATAAACTTATATTATACATAACATTGGCATTTTTTGTGCAGTTTTTATGTATAATGGACAGTTTAAGCATTTTGATAGAATAGGGTAGTAGTCAAGGGGAAGATGTAGAAGTTGATCACGATGATGGTGATGATGATGATGATGATGATGATGACGACGACGACGGTGACTCACCTTGGGTTCTTACAATTGGGATGTGTTTTTCTTGTCTAGAGGAAGTTAAAACATATTATCAAGAGTATGCTTTGAAAAAGAGGTTTAGATGGAGTATTAGATCATCGGAAAAAGAAAAGAAAAGGAGATGACGGGGAGCTTAACTACCTAATACTTTCATGTTCAAGAGAAGGGTCTAACATTTCAAAAATTTCATGCACGTTAAAGACGCTACCATCTAGAGTGAAAAATTATCCTGTCAAGATTTGTATTAAATTGAAACAAGATGGTTTGCGGTACATTACACAATTTGAATCTAATCATTCTCATGAGACTAGCCCTACAAATACAAGATTTTTTTTAGGCTAACAAGAAAATGAACTTACATGTGAGGAGAACAATCCAAATCAATGATGATGCGGGAGTAAGGATCAACAAGACTTTTCAATCGCTTGTTAAAGATGCAGGAGGACATGAAAATATTCCCTTTTGTGAAAAGGATGTGAGGAATTATATTAACAAAGAGCGTTGTACGATTGGAAAAGAATGTGATGTTAAGACTTTGATAAGTTATTTTTGTAAAATGAGGGAACAAAATACAAATTTCTTTTATGACATAGATTTGGATGATGATTTTCATGTGAGTAATGTATTTTGGGTTGATGCAAGAAGTAGAGCCGCTTATGAATATTTTGGAGATGTTGTAACTTTTGACACAACATACTTGACTAACAAGTATAACATGTCTTTTGCTGCATTCGTGGGTGTGAATAACCATGGTCAATTAACATTACTTGTTTATGGATTGCTATCAGGTGAAGACACATATTCTTTTATGTGGTTGTTCAAGTCATGGTTGTAAGTATGGAATGCACCTAAGAGGGGTTGAATTAGGTAATTTAAATTTTTTATAGTTTTAGACTTAGATGTCATTATTTTTCCGGTTGGATGTTAAGTGATGAAAGTGGTAAAGTGCGGAAAAATAAAGGACACAGTGATATATCGTGGTTCCCCTTATAATCTGAGAGTACTTCAGTCCCCTTACGCACTAAGATATTTTACTATCTTGTTTGGAATTTGTACAAGCTATCCTAGCCATTATACACAAGGTCTTAAACCAATCAATAAGGACAAACTCCTTATGATCTTACAAAGTGAAATAAGAGAGCAATCCTCCTTTAATCACTCTCTTGCTTCTAACAAACCTGGACAACAAGGAAATCAACAATAATACGTATTTTTACAAGTATTTTGAAGTTGTATCACTAGGTTGATCTTCTCTTTCAAGTAATAAATTTTCAATATGTAACACAAGTGGTCAATGATTTTATATAGTTGAAACTATTTGAAAATGCAATGAAATTGATGTGCAGAAGTTTCAACAAAAAGTTATGTCAAGAACACTTGATTTTGAAAATGAGATCATATAAGTTTTGATTTGCAAATGAGAGAAGTGAATTTCAAATTCTTAAAAGTATGGTTTATATAGTGCCTCGACACCTTTATAAAAGTGTACAAATGCATGAAATGATTCCATGGTGCAAAAATGCTTTCAAAAAATTCGCTTGGATCATAAGTGAACCACTGCTACTGCTTCGGTGGTAATCAGTTACTAAAAAGAGCGTAACCGATTACACCTGAAGTGGTGTAAAAAAATTTGAACATTTTACGCGTGTAACCAGTTACAGAAAATGGTGCAACCGGTTACACCATTTGAAAATGGCCAAAGAAGTTAACGTTAGACACGTGTAACTGGTAACAAGAATTATGGTAACCGGTTACCACTGCTTTGAGGCAGAAAGACACCTTAGAAAAATGAGATTTTGCCAAGTTTAATTCATGAAAAATGTAGGAATGCAATATGTTATGTTTTTGCATAAAATTTTTGAGCACTTATAGTTAACATAAATATAGTGAAAATTTATACCTTGAAATATCATGATCATTCTTTAAAAGCATCCAACGTTATAATATTTAGGACTTGAAATCTGGACTTTTATGCAATAGCTCTTGACATAAGTCTTGATCTTTTTTTTTTTACATGAATCGATTTTTGTAGTTTGTCTTCATCAAAACTATCATTTGGAGAAGCTTGTCTTCAAGTTGGCTTCATTGTATGCTAGAAAAATCACCTTTAGGTATTGTGATCAATCAATGTAAGGCTAAGAAAAATGCTATTGAGTTAGTCTTCCCTACAACTCATCAAAGGTGGTGTTTTTGGCATATAATGAAAAGAGTTCCAGAAAATCTTAGCGGATATGGTGAGTATAAAAGGATCGAGTATGCAATGAAGGAAGTAGTATATGATACATTCACAACAGCTAGTTTTGAACAAAAATGACATTCGTTCATAGAAAAATATGATCTCAAAGAAAATGATCGGTTGGGTGGGTTGTATATTGAGCGTCATAGGTGGGCACCAACTTTGTTAAGAAAATATTTTTGGGCTAGTAGTCAACTATGCAGCGTAGTAAGAGCGTGTGTGCTTTATTTAATGGATATGTCAATTCTACAACAAGTCCAAATCAGTTTGTGAAACAATATGATAATGTTCCTAGAAGTCTGGAAGAAAAGGAATTTGAAGCTTATTTTAATTCGACGGATACAAAAATTCCATGTGCGTCAAACTCGTCCATTGAGAAGCAATTCCAAAGTGAGTTTACTAATGCCAAATTCAAGGAAATTCAAGTGGAATTCAGATATAAAATGAATTGTTCTACCTTATTAAATAGCGTGGAAGGTTGATTTGTTACGTATCATGTGTTGGAGAAGATATTAGTTGGATACGCACACAAAAAGCGAGTCTTAAAAATTGTGCTTAATAAGGAAAATCATGATTTCAAATGTGAATGCTCATTATTTGAGTTTAAAGGTATTGTGTGTCGGCATGTGTTATCCGTGTATAGTCAGGAGAAGATTATAAGTCTTCTAGAGAAGTATGTTTTAAATAGATGAAAGAAAAACATTGAAAGAAGCATTCATATATCAAGACTAATTATGGTGTAACAGAGTTGAAGTCACAGATGGACAGGTTTGGCAAATTATGTAAGCATTTTTATGACGTTGTTGAAGTAGTTGCTGAGTCAGAAGAGACTACCAAAAACTTCCATGAAACATTACATTTGTTTAGCTCTAATATGTCCACAAAGGATATTACACTAATTGAAGAAAAACTCAATGATGATTCTAATCCAATCAAGAGTAATAGAATTCGCAGTCCAAAACATGTCAAGCGCAAAGGTCGTCCTCCATCAAAAAGAAAAACATCTATCACTAAAACGATTGCTAAGGGGTCAAGGAAGCGAACAAAAAAAATGTGATCACATTAAACTTACTACAGTATGTCTATTTATATATATATATATATATATATATATATATATATATATATATATATATATATATATATATATATATATATATATATATATATATATATGTATGTATGTATGTATGTATGTATGTATGTATGTATGTATGTATGTATGTATGTATGTATGTATGTATGTATGTATGTATGTATGTATGTATGTATGTATGTATGTATGTATGTATGTATGTACGTACGTACGTACGTACGTGTGTATGTATATATGTATGTATGTATGTATACATATACATCTACTTTTAATATATAAAAGTTAATTACCACCATAATTACTTAATTACCCTAATTACAATCCATAATATAGCTAATTTCATGTTCCTATAAGTAATTTCGTAATAAACTCTTTTTAATACTCTAACTAACTCTACCATTTTGCAATTTAATAAATTTGGCTCGACAACATAAATAAACTCTTTTTAATACTCTAACTAACCCTACCATAGGTTTTATTTAATTGAATAAATTGATATTATTATTATTATTATTGTTATTTATTAATATTTATTATCATCATTATTAATCCCATTTACCCACTTAATAACTCAAAATATTTTAAAACCACTATTCTAAAACCACTGACAATATTATACCATTTTAAATGTAATGGATACAGATATGCAACTTCCAATACACGTGTTTCAACCCTAAAAAATCAGTATATCCACACCTTTCACTTCAATATTTTTTGCTTATATTTGAAGCAAACTTTCCCAAAAGTAATCATCATTAATGTTCTACTTTAACATCACATCAAACCTATATCAATCATATTTTTCAATAAAGATAGAAACCAAATTTGAATAATATAATATTAATTTTTTTTCAATCTAACAAATTTATTTCATTCCCCCTGTAAGATTACTAAAATACAATTTTAAATTAATTTCAGGTACAATATTCTGTTTGGATTCATATATTTAAAAAAAAAAATTATGTAATTGCAATTTTTATAAATTTATGCTGTACATTGACAATATTTTTTCTTAATACTGTTTTTTTCTTACATTGATAATATTTTTTCTTACCTATTTATACTACTAAAAAATATTACCGTTATTTTATTGTTGTTGCAATCTTATCATTCCAAAACGAAATCAATATCCTGAAATCAAATTAATTATTATTGTAGTTTTTTTGCCAAATATTATCGTTGTTTGATTTTCTTTAAATGACAAAATGAATTTTTTTAATAATAAATATTATTGTTATTTTATTGTTGTTGCAATCTTATCATTCCAAAATGAAATCAATATCCTGAAATCAAATTAATTATTATTGTATTTTTTTTGCCAAATATTATCGTTGCTTGATTTTCTTTAAATGACAAATTGAATTTTTTAAATAATAAATATGAACCACTTAAATTGAATTTTTGCCAATCCTTCTACAATTCTCTCTCAAACAAAGGTACGTTTTTAACATATTTATACATTTTCACCATTTTTTCTTTATCTTTTTTTGTCAATCCTTCTACAATTCTCTCTCAAACAAAGGTACGTTTTTAACAGATTTATACATTTTCACCATTTTTTTCTTTATCTTTTTTTTTTTTCAAGTTATTAGGTTTGTAATTTTATAGTCATCTAAATTTGCAGTTACATTAATTTTTGAATTTTTTTCCAGTGAAAATGAGTAGAAAGGTTGATTATGTGAAAGACATCAATGACTCAAAAGAAACTTGGCGTCTTGTTGTTCGAATAATGGATGTTTGGAGTATTGTGAATAATAAGGGTATTAAACATTTGGAGATGATTGTTATGGATTCCTTGGTAAATTGCTTTTCTTTTTTTAAGTATAGATTTTTGTATGATAGTTAGTAATTACAACAAAATGTTTTTTTGTATAACATATAAAAAGAAGATTATTTTTATTTTGTTAGGGTGATCGAATTCAGGTCCTTATTCGTCATGACCATTTACTGAAATGGAAAGAAGTCATTAAGGAGAATATGACCTGCATTATAAACAATGGCAGTGTCTATAACAATGATTTTCAGTGGAAGGTATGTGATCATTCAAAAAAACTTGTGTTTCTTGGTGGTACCACAATGAATGCAATCGAACTTCAAAATATTCCACCTAAAGGATATTTCTTTAAAGATTTTGGTGAGATACTTCAAGGCAAATGCAAAACCGATAGACTGGAAGGTAATTTAAATTCTATTATAACTTATATAACTTATATATTTGCAAACAATTCAATAATGAACCTTACTTTAATGTAGATACTATTGGTGCTGTTAGTGAGATAAACCATATCCAATCCAACACTCCGGGGAAGAAAGTTGTTGTTTCTGTTGTGCTGAAAGATTTGAAGTAATGCGCATTGTTTTCATAACTTATGTGTTTGATAAATTTATATATTTTGAATCACTGAATCCCATCATATAATATTGTTTATTTATATTGCAAAATAGGGGTAATTGCATAAATTGCAATTTATGGGAAATCTATGGATCAAAATTTTTGGCTTACTACAATGATCCTAAAAACAATGGAGGTATTGTAATTCTGTTCACTCATGCAATGGTAAAAGATGGCCAAGGTATTACACTATCAGACTTTATAAATACATAGCTGATTTGTATTTTTCATTATACGTTCAATAATTTTTATATTAATTATACAATTTACAGTGTCAAATGCATGGAGTGGTTCCAAATTGTTGATAAATGAAGACATCCCTGAAATTCAAGATTTTATGTCTAAGTATGGATTTTATTTATTTATTTATATTCAGATTATTATACATAATTTTTAATTTAAAAAACAATCTTATTTCTATAGGTTGCCTACTAATGAACAGAAGGAGAAGCCTACTCAATCTGCAAAATCTCTTTCTAATTGGTATGGTGGTTCTCAGTATTCGCTAGTAGAAAGGTTTGTTCATAATGCGAAATGTATGTCCTTAAGTCAGTTCTGCAAAATCAAACATGTAAGTTGAATACTATAGAGCCGAATTTATCTTTACTATTACAATTATATTATTTGCCTTTTGAAATTAATATCATTTTTGATTTGCTTTTAGGAAACTTTATGTGTTACTGTAGCAACCACATTGAAATTTGTTGTCTCAAAGTATGGATGGTTTTATTATGGTTGCACAAAGTGTTCTTCGAAGGCACCTAATCCTGAACAAGCTTATGAATGTTCATGTGGGCAAAAAGTCGAATAACCCATACCAAGGTACATATAATCTAGATGAATTGCAAATAAATTTGGTAATGGATTTGTTATTAATCATATTATTTTCTTCGTTTAAAATACTATAGGTACAAGATTGAGATATATGTTAGCAATGGTGAATCAAAATATCGATTTGTATTCTGGGATTCCGAATGTGTTGATATACTTGGAATGACTGCTGAATTTATGCATAACTCTATGGTGGAGGTACATTGTTATACATAAGTTAAAATGTTAATAGTTTATCGAGTTGTAAAGTTCAGATTATCACTCATGATTGATATTTTATTTTTCCATTAGAATGGAGAAGATGATCCAATGGTTTATCCTAATGAGCTTGAAATGCTGTTGAATAAGAAAATGGTTTTTAGAGTTAAGGTGCAGCCAACGTTTTCCCAAGCGTCTGTTTGGAAGCTTTGTGATGATGAAGCCTTTGTTAAAGAGATTGAAAATGACTACATAGTAGAAGAGGTATAATATTCACTTAATTCATGTATTATTTAAACATTTAACAAGTATAATAAATATTCGATGTTTCAATGTGCAGAATCAGTCTAAAACTGAATATGCAAAGGTGGTCCCTAACAAGGAAAATTTGGAAACTTCCGCAATAAGTATCTTCATTTGTTAACATAATAATTTGATATGATAAATATTGTATTATTATAATTCATTTTATATCTGACAATTAATTTTTTATATTGCAAGCAAACATTATCTGCTCTGGTGAAAATGATCCAGAATCAATCATTCTAATGACTCCGGCTA